CTTAAGAGAGAAATTCCACGATCATTGCCTAGGCCATGGCTGGGCATTCTTCCCAGATGCTGCAACTGAGCTGATCCATATCTGCTGCTTTGAGTAGCTGCGGCAGATCAGTAAGCCTCGCCCAGGCTGCTGCTTGCTGTTCCCCAGAGAGATAGAACAAGTCTCCATGTGAGATCTCACGTAGATGACTGCACCTGCAGACCTCATACCCAGTTAGGAGGGGGGCAGGTTAGAGGGTTAACAATAATAGAAGCTGTGTATTGGAACAACAAAGCTGGGTACTGAATTCTGGTTACACAGTGCTTTTTATCTCACAAGTGCATTTTTCCTTACAATCTAAATAGATTTCTTACCAAATCTACATGTGGGAAGGAAATAGGGGTCATACAACAGTAAATGGTTTTGTTTTTAAACTAAAAGCAAAATGTTTACCTGTGCAAAAAAGAATTAATCACTGTTTCTCCATCTAAAAAGGTCTAAACACCATGTTTTGTATGTGTTGTAAGCATCTTTGCCAAGAGCCTGTGTGCAGAACTTGATCTGTACTGGAAGTGGTTGGAAATATTGTAGTATCCAAAGTAGATTCTATCACAAACTAGCTGCAAATTAAGTAGAAAAAAATTAAAATAGCACCACCTTTCTCAACAAATCTGCTTCCTGTTTGTCTTAAAAGCATTTATAGCTGCCTTCCTGACAAGGGCAAACATTAATTCCATTAACGCTGCATGGCTATAGAGCCAGGAGTCCTGCTCATACATTTTTTAATATTGGTAGTAGAGCAAATGGCAGAAAGTTTTAATATTGGTAGCAGAGCAAACTAGAACAGAATTTTGTCTAGTCACAGCCTGAGTCCCATGGTTAAGATGAGCAGCAGCTCCATTTAACAAATTGAATTTAGCTGGATCAACAACCAGTGCAGGTGGTATAAAGATGTATGGTATATATAATGTATCACATGGTTTTGTATCTGATCACTTAAATGTTGCTACATATACACAGTCTATTTACAGCCTGAGAAATAAGTTTCCAAAAATTACTGCAAATTAAAAATGGAAAAGAAAAAGTCCTCGCAATTGTTATGGAAACTTGCTTCCACTTAGCTGTTTTTTCTCCTTATGAACCTTTTTGTCTTTCAAACCACAGATGTGCTAGATCCAATACCAAAGAGTCAAGCTACAGGTAGAGAGAGGCCCATCGCCCAGGAAAAAGAGCCGTGGGAAGAGGAAGTGGACAATCTAGTAGCCTGGACTAACACTCTCTCTACCAAAGGATTAGAGGACTAAACTACAAGATCTCATATACAAACCAGAAACTTTTATTTTGATAGGTGATATAAAACAAATACATTTATGTCAGTCCTGTGGCGAAAATCCTAGACCTATCACTCAGCCCTTTTTCAGGCAAAACTCCTGTCAGCTTTAGGTGAGCAAAGGTGAGTAAAACACGCACAGGGATACTTTTCGCATCTGTGCAAACTCAGTTCCTTCACCCCTTCTCCTTTGTCTTCAGTGGGTTTGCAAAACTCTGATTGGTATGGATCTACACATGTCTCAGGTGCTACTACACAAGATGGAAAAGAAGATGTGCTAGCCTCTGCAGGACTTAGAACAGAAAACAACAACAACAAAACCTGATTGGATTAGTTGCTATAGATAACTGGTGACCCTGGATGCACACAGGGCTTGCTTATACTACTGCAGCAGCCAGATCCAGGGAGGATGGCACTGAGCACTCCCCATCCACCCAAGTGCAGGCATATGCCGCCCTGACTTGTCTGTGGGGCTGTGGAAACTATTGCAACTATAAATATTCTAGTAGTTGCGCAATGTATAAGGGAAACCATAGATCTGAGGATTGCACTGAGGAATACAAATATTCAGTGTAGGGATCCATTAGAAAAGTCAGCTGTATGAATAACATTTGAGAATGTGTCCTGATCCTGATACTTAAAGATGGGAAAGATCCACCAGTATCAGAATTTCATATCCAGCACACTTACAACATAATTGCCCACTAGCATGTATGATATCTGTTGAACCTACATCACTATGAATCTACATAGGAGGCAGCATGAACTGAAAGGAAGAAATGAGTGCCCGGATCATAGGAAAACCCAAGTAAGATTTCTGTTCCACCACAAGCAGTCTGAGACTCTCTTTGTAAACTGTAGCTGTGAGGATAAATACATTTGGTGATTGAAAGACATTTGAGTTACTTGGATGACAGGTAAATATCTAAGTACCTAACAGTGCACTGAACCTGGGGTCAGTTGAGCTGGGGTTGGTTCCTGGCTCTCCACTGACATGCACTATGGCCTTGGACAAGCCACTTCATCTCCCATAAACTTTGTTTCTTCTTCCACCCATTGCCTCTCTAGTCTATGAATATTATAAATTATTTAGATCAGCCCATCTCTCATAATGGGTTTGTTCAATACTTAGCCTAGCCCAGTAGTATTCTGGACTCCATAGGTACCAAAGATACAAATGGTGTCTCTATAAAAGTTCAGGCATGAAAGTTAAGACAATTTTTTCTTGGACAAAACAAGATCTTTGGAACTCTTCAGTGACTTCCTTCAATTATGTTTTTTTCTCAGCAATTTGAAACATTAATTTATCTGCCTACCGGGGGCTTTTTTCCGTTATACATTTTATAACCTCTAGTTCAGCAGCTCTGTGAGTTCTGAGATCAACCTCTTTGAACAAGGAACACATCCACGACTGTGCCAGGGAAAGAACAAAGTTTCAAGTTGCTCAGAGCTTTGAATGCACATCTGGGATAATTTATGAACTACTTGTAAAAAATATATCAATATTTCCACAAGCGGAGGAGAAAGGACAAGTAGCAGGCCAGGACAAGGATTAGTTCTGTCATTTGTACATTTGAGGTGAAAGAAGTTTACCGTTGTCCCTAGCCCTGACAACATTCTTCAGTAAACCATTCACAGCCCTAAAAGGCACAGGGCTAATGCACTCTGCAAAGCTGTAGCTAATATTTCAGCCTCTGAATGTGACTACTATCACATCAACATATGTGCAAAATTATTTCCAGCTCTGGATGCCTCCTGTAATTTTCAGTACAAATGTGGCTCCAGTGTTTCAGTATATATGGCTTTGCACTGCAATTTTGAGAAGTCACTTAAATGTAACACTTCTTTATGGGTTCCTTTTTGTGACCTATTCTTCATATGATATGCTGCAGGAAGAACAGAACCCAGTGAACGTGAGTAGGATAGGGACATAATGGGATATACTAGCTAGTGATGCATAGAGGGAGACGCTTGCTGATTCAAATGTATCTAATCTGGGTGGAAAAACTAATCAATTAAAAATACTTTGGAACTGATTCTGATGCATATATTTTGGTTTTGCAGCAGTATAATTTTTTATAACATGAGAATTTCTTCAAATTGGCTTCACTTTTCATACAATCAGAATCAGGCTTTCTAGCTTTCTTTTTTTAAAGCACAATGACCTCTAGATGGCACTATATTACTATGGATGCAGAAACTATTGTTTTCCCCCCAATCAAGGGAAATCTGCCCCTGGCTATTTTTAGTGACTTCTCTGCTGGAAGCCAGCTGCCAAAAGTATGGTTCTGCTTTAAATTGTTTATAACAGATCCTTAGTTTTTTATTAAAGACAGCATATTCTTTTGTGTGGGAAGATGTTTAATGTAGCATGGTACAACATCTCTTCAAGTGACTGTCTTCAGAAATTTTATTATGGCAAGTGCCAGAAGTTGATTGCATGCACATCACTTGGTTTTGTTATGTTCTCTTTCTTTTAATTAATTTTTACTCTGTAAGAACACAGAGTCCCAGAACAGTGGAAAAAGTGAGGGATCAAGGTAGTACCGTCTTTTCATGCATCCTATGTGCAAACAATTAAAAAATGCAAGGGAAGGAAGCAGATGCAAGAATGATGAGCCCTGTACAAAAATGTTGCATGAAACTTCATGACTTCTGCAAGCACATTGAAGGGAACATTAACAGAATAATAAAAGTATATTTACTAGTAGTGAATATACCTGCGGCACTGCCATGGCAGAGAATTTGTTTGCTAATCACAAACAAGGAATCATATACTGTCTTCAGTATAAATCATATTGCTGTCAATGGCACTAGTCCATGTCTGGCTGTGGGCAGTATTCCCTCTGGCTTTCTCTAGACTATAATGGCCTTCATTGTGAATAATCCCACTGAAGTCAGTGGAGCCACCTGCGGAGTATGAGGCTGTCTGAAAGTGCTCTGCAGCATTACTTCATATTAAGAGTATGTTGAAAACCATATAGGTTGAGCAAATGCTAGAAGGTATTTTAATAAATTGGTGGAGTCAAACAGGTCAATGGATAGTTCATATCCACAGATGGTATTTTCCACCGATACATTTATACAACCACGGACACAATGCTAACAACTGTAACATGCTTGTAAAAGTGTTAACCCTTTTAAATACCTGCACTTGCACTAGCATTAAAGGAAAGTGACCTGTATCACAATCTTGCTCTATACTAGTCTGAATCTAATGTGAAGCCTGAGATCACGGGGAAGTTATGAAACTGAAGAAAATCCTGCTTTCTAAAACCCAGAAACTACAGCAGGGCCCCCCTCCTGTTTTCCTTTTCACCACTGGTGTCCTGTGGCTTATCATCTAACAAGCAGGTGGATCAAAGATACCTGGCCAGAAACAACATATAACTGGTTGTAGTAAAGGGTGAGAAAATAAAAGTTGAATGCTCTCTTTTATCTTAAGTCCAGTATAGAATATGTTAATAATTTAGAACATCCTGGGACAAGAAGATAGCACTTAAAAGCATAGTGAAATAACAGGAGAGAGGCCTGGAAATGCTGTTTATAACCCAGCTAAATCAAACCAATCTCTCATTTGGAGGCAAATGAAACACAGGTGTGATCAGATTTTTAATTAGGTCAATGCTAACGGCAAAGTGCCCCACATGGACTGGAAGGTTAAACAAAAGTTCTACAAGCAGATGGTTGTCGGACCCTTTGTTGTGCTCTAGTTCTGGTGTGAGCTGGTCCTAAAGGCTTCGTGGCTTGTCGCAAAAGGATTAACCCAGTGTACGGAGGATCTGGCAATATAATAATTCCTATGTGAGCCCCTCCTTCCCAGCTGTCTGTGTGCAGGGCTACACCCTGACATGCAATTGCAATGAGCTGGGTGTCTCTTGGCCCCAACAATCTTCAGCAAATGTATCAGGGCTTTCGCTGTGCCAGCAACTGGCATAAATCAGGGCAGATTTCAGTCAGGGTCTGTATTATCTTTTCAGTCGTATAGACGTTGCACCTTCCCCTTCCCTTACCCATGCCCAAACCTGGAGACTGACCCAGCCAGGGAAAGGGGCACATCCTTGGTAAAGAGCAGCTCTAGAGGAGGCAGGGGATGCTCCTGGAAACTTCCATATAAGCACAAGGTTTCCATATGGGTCTCTCAGCCTTGGGGACAGCGGAGTACATTATTGTGATTGTAGGCACTGCATTTCCTTCCTGGAAATTGCTAACCCTGTTCCCCAGACAAGGACATAAACCCACATGGGTATCCTTAAAGAGAGAGAGAGATTTGCTGCAAAACCCCTCCTCTAGGCTATATTTAGCATCCTCAAATATATGATTAGCTGTTCTTGATCACAAATAGTACTCCCTTCAACAGACGTGCGTCTGCAGTAAAAAGTCATAGGCAGATGGACCTGGCATGTCCAAGTCTTTGAAAGCTTGTCCAGCTCTTATCCTGTTTCTGTTGGGCTTTGCAGACTGCTTTCCAAGTATCTGTGGCACAAGGGCAGCTGTCCATTAAAGAGGCAGACATCAATTGTTAAGTTACATTAGATTCCCAGGAAAATGCACATCAGTGCCATTCAAGTCACATTAATTTATCATGATTAATTGCGCAAGGAATATTGAATGAATAATTGATTAACGTCTTATTACTGCAACAGCTGTCTGTCATTATTATGCCTGGTGATTTGTGATTAACATTAGTCCCATCAGCTTCTGTGCTACAGCTCTGTGCGGACCTACCACCTCCATGCCATGATTTGGAGATGTCACTTCCCCTGCTCTGATGGTCCAGTGACTGGGCCTTAATTGTAAAGTGTAGGCTAGATAAAGACTAAACATAACCAAACTCCTGGTTTGGGGGTTGTTTTTTTCCCCTCTTCCTTCGGAGCATTTAGCCACATTGTCAGAGATGGAAGAAATTAAGCATTCCCAGAAACTTAAGCAAAAAGAAAGAAGCAAAGCTTCCAAAGAGGGCTATTAATCCAACCATCTAAGCAGGGCAGCTGCTAGGGGCTTCATATGGAGTCTGTGGGGTACTGACTTTTGCTGTGCTAGTTTGAGACTGTACCATGAGTAAAATTTGCAGAGCAGACCTTTGTCAGGCCTTCCCATACTACACAGGTAGCAGTTTTATCTTGCACCTACATATATGTTCCTCTCACTTGTTCAGTCACCTTCTTTTAAACTGGGAATAGTTCCTTTATATCAGAATTGCATAAACAGGGGCCTTAATTCCTACTTCTTCTGCACACGCTGCTCGTTCAGGACAAGCAGAAGGAGGCTGTGCCCTGGCTTCAAGGAGCTCAGCTCTACATTCAGCCAAGGACATCAGCAAAAGCTTAGCCCATCCACATGCTTATGTCTGACTGTTAGTTAATGTTAGCATAAATAACCTATTTCTGATGTTCCCGGTCAACTGTACTGTCTACCACCAACTTTCTCCTGATTTTTTTTAAAGCTTTTTTTCATGATGTTCCAAAGCTAGCTTTATTTCTGACACTCGCTAGCAAGTCACTGGTGTGGGAAATATAATGTACTGAGAAGGTGTGACTAATTGCAAAGGCAGGCCAGGCTTGGTGGACTCACTGCACAGAAAATTAAAAAGCTGATCCGACAGTGCCATAGAGTGCCAGATAGGCAGCAGCAAAAGAGAAGGAGATGTACACGTCTCTCCACCTGGGAGACAACCAGACTTTGGGGACTACACCCCGATCCCTTCCAGACAACCACTGACTTAAATTGTTAATTATACCAGGGTACGCCTGTCCAAAAAAGCCAGGCTGCATTTGTGATCAATTAGAGAAATAAAAGGAAAAATGCATGAGCTTCTGATCCTCAGGGCAGGTGTCCTTTCCCCGTTTCAAAATGGATTCATTATCATTCTTACCCCCTCTTCTAAACTAGCTCAAAGCCTAAAATTGTGACTTTTGCAGTGTCCTCGAACTAAGATGACAGCTGTAATTTCCAATAATAATCTTTGCCAGGACTTTCTCAGGAGGTTTTTAAGTACTTTACAATGGAAAGTATCATTTTAAAGATGGAGAAATTGTAGCCAAGCAAAGTGAAGAAATGTCCTCAATGTCACGGGGAAGGTTTGTGGCAGTCAGATACAATCTGCCTTCTGGGTCCTAGACCAGTGTCCTGCTCATGGGATGATGCCACTCATACAGTATCAAATTCAGCTGTCAGATGAATCATCAGTATAAAACCAAAATCACCCACTGAAGTTATAATTAAAAAAAAAAAGTATCTGAATAGGCAATGGCAATAAATAAGGAACTCAGAGAGAGTCCAGAGAAGGGCCATCCGTATGATCAGAGACTTGCACGGCAAGCCATATGAGGAAAGGCTGAGGGACTTGGGTCTCTTCAGCCTAAAAAAGAGAAGGCGGAGAGGGGACTTGGTAGCAGTTTACCGCTATATCAGGGGACTACATCAAGGGTTCAGTGAACAACTGTTCACCAGGGCAGCCTTGGGGAAAACCAAGACTAATGACCACAAACTCCTGGAACAGCGTTTCAGGCTCAACATTAGGAAAAACTTCTTCACAGTCAGGATGTCCAGACTATGGAATAAACTCCCTGCAGAGGTGGTGGCAATCACCTACCCTGGAAATCTTCAAGAGGAGACAGGACGGTCACCTCGCTGGGCTCACCTGACCCCAGTTGTCTTTCTGGCCTGGTGCAGGGGGGCTGGACATGATAATCTTGCGAGGTGACTTCCAGCCCTTTCCAATCCATGAATCTATGGTGGAATTTGACTCGATGAATCTCAAGTAACAATGATAGTTAAAGTACAGACTGATTAGGCAGCAATCCTGTCAGTGGCAATGCGTAGCATGTTCACAGGGGTGCACACATACCCCTGAGAGCGCTGGTGCACCCTCTGACAGCTGCACTTGCCGCTTAGGCAATGGGCAAGGGGACAGACAGAAGCATCGGTGCCCCCCCTGCAAACGCCGGGTGGGAAGGGGCTGCCAGGTGAAGCAGCCATGCTCCCAGTTGATGCACGAGCGCTGGCCAAGGAGCAGGGCCGTGGCCACTTCCACAAGTCCCATGGCTGCTTTTTGGTGAGTGAGATCAGCCATGGGGGGACCCCTCTGGTTGCTTACTTGTTGCTGGGGGTGGGGGGCACGTGCCCTCCCTGACTCAAGAGGCACCAGTCACCCATGAATCCTGTCTTACAGAAGGAACAACAACTGTTCCTCTGCTAGAAATACACCTACCACTTCAGTTAAACATATTATTGCTAATGGAGATTTATTTGATATTTGCCAGGACACTGAAAGAGCACTGCTCTAGGGCAGGAGTAGGCAACCCCTGGCACAGGTGCCAGAGCATGGCACACATGCATGGCAACCCC